CATAAATTCCTTAATATTAAAATAACCCTTTTTATACAAACTTAGTTTAATAAAGTTTTTGAGCTTTGTGTACTTACGTCAAATTTTGTATATTTTCTGGCATTTTGTTGTAAAAGCGTATACATCGCCTCAAAAATAAATTACTAATTCTGTGGAGTCGAGTAACTGGTACCGAAATGGCGGGATATTGAATTTATGTAGTGGTTCTTTTAGCACGGCCTTGTATATAAGTTTTTTGCCTACAAAAATTTACTTTGACAAAGTGAAAAAAAAACTTGTTTTATTCATGATTCATGTAATTTAAAGAATTTTGAAAATAAAAAATTAAATTAAACAAATAATACATTAAAGAAATTAATGATTCGATTATTAGAATATTTTTACCGATTATTTGAATATTTTGCCGATTATTCGCATAACAATGAATTTTAATCATCCAAACACTACGGTAATATACATAGCGACATGTCATTGAAACGACGTCTAGTAAAAAAAGTTAATACTGTATTTTTTAATATTTCGCTTTGTTTGAAAAATTCAAATTTAAATTAGTGATAAAAAACTATACACGTTGTAATGAAATATAGATAACTTCATAATTCTTCAGATTTACGTAAAAGGTTATTTTAAATCGTGTGAGTACGCTTGTGCAAAGTTATTGCGGAATGATTAATGCGAAACGTTAAAAGCACTGACCTCTATATATACAAGTACGCTGGACTGGCTATACCATACAAAATGACTGCTGTCCAATTTGAAGCGCCGCTAAAGGATGTCTTGAAAAATAAAATTGACATAATATGCCAAAGTCTGCTGTCTTATTTATATTGTCATATTTAAAAAGTCTGTATTTTGAACTTATATACTAAAAAAAATGAAAGTATTTTATATTGTTTGATTGTGTATAATATTAGTTACATATTAAGAATTATTTTTAATAATAATGAGAGTGAGCGTAATCTGTAAAACTCGTTACCAAAAGGGAAGCCATATAACATTACACAAGTAAGTGAATTTGCAGCTAATATTTAACAAATTAAAACTATTTGATAATGTAAGTACTTAAAATTTTGTTACTAATTGTAATATCATATATACCAACATGTTTGGCTGTATATTACTGAGTTTTGATAAACAATAACATTCAATAGGGTTGTCGAGTTCCTTGTCTATAATACTTATCGATGTTCTTTCCTACCCATATCTGTTAACAAGCAAAGTCGCCAACAACAGATGATTATCAAATGTTTATTAATTAACAGGTTTCCAACAGAACCTAGACTAAAATTATGGCTTAAAAGCATAAATATTGTGAATTGGCGTCCGAAACAAAATGATCATATTTGTTCCAAACATTTCACAGACGACTGTTTTATTAGATATGAGAACTGCACCACTTTGAAAAAGTGCAGTATACCGAATATATTTTCTGGTAGTATCAGTACCAGTAAGTATAAAAGTATTAGATTATTATTTGGAATGTTTTTTTTATTTTTTCTTTCCTCATTTTCCACCAAAATCAAGGGCCATAGCCAAGTGTCGAAAGGTCGCCTGTTGATGTCGAGCCACGTTGGGTGTGTGTTAGTGGGCTGCGGCTAGAGGAGATTCCTCTCCTTGTACCGCTATAGTTGAGGTGGAGTAGTAAGGGAAGAGGAGTGTTGGTATGGCGATTGGCGATGCGCCACTCGACTATCTTTCGCGACTTTAGTGAGGCTGCACCACTTGATGTTTCCAAGTGCTCGTTTTTCCCTGGCTCCATTCACATATCGGGCTCGTGGAGTCCGTAGTGCAGGTGGAGTTAGAGGCCGCGAAGGACAGTGTGGCTTGTATTTCTGGTGCGCCTTATCTGAGAAAGAAAACGGGGAGGAGAACTCAGCAACTAAGGAGGGGCTGCCATTGGGCGGCTGGCGCGAGAGGGGCCGCGGATGTGCATGAAAGCCTTTCCGTGGCCCTGCGAATTTGCGGCGGAGGTAGAACACCATGGGGTTTTAGTAAGTGCGATCTAGAGATTTAATTCTCTCTTAATTGCAGGCATGTAATAGTATGAGTACATATTTGTGCTATTTGCTGTAGAGACTACTGGTCCGTAGGGTGCACGTGCGGTGTAGTTTCTAAAAAACTGTATCTGCGACTGATCATCACTGCTGGTAATAAGAAGTTGTTTAGTTTGTTGCTTCCTCGCTTGAAGGCTAAGTATAGCCATTCAGAGAGGACACGTAGCCAGCATTCTTGGGACGATACCACGGTAAGTAGGACTGTATGATGATTTCAGTTATTTTTTTAATATTGTAATTTTAATTTCGAAAATGACGTTATAAATAACTGATAACTATGTAATTCAAAGTTTATTTTTTTATATTATCTTGCTAGCTCGTACCCGCCGCATTGCTGCCGCAGAAGAAATAATTGTGGAAATATCGTTAAAAATGTGGAACATTCCTAAATGTGGTGTGGAATGTGGTATCATTCCTAAATATTGTATAATTAGGAATGATAATACAATCATTGAAAAATAATGATATATAACTATCTATAACTTTCAAATAAATAGTAAGTATAATACGCACGCCACTTAGTGTCAGTTACTTGTAACATGCGTATAACTTTCGCACAAGTGCAACCAATAAGTTGACTACGTTTTAACGCAATCTGATGAACGGTATGGCATCGTAGAAAGTATGAACAAACATAAATTTTTATATAGTAGAAAATATTATACTGTTTATATACAGACCTGTAGTTGATTAGAATAAGCGTTATTATAGCAGCTGATTTGTTTTTCTTTATAATACTAGAACTAAATGAACGGTTGACAATAAATTATTTTAGAAATTATGTTTTTTTTTTTGTAGATAGTTTAATCTTAATAATTTTTTAGTTGAATGGTCTAAGGGCTACGATGGCTATCCGAGTACAGAACCAGAGTACAAAACTAATCCAACTGTAGAGATGTGTAAGACAGGGTGACGTAATATCCCCGAAATACTTTACCGCTGCATTGGAAGACGTCTTCAAGCTACTGGACTGGAAAAGATACGGTTATGGAGTGTAGAAGTAAGGAGTACCAACTTTCATAGTAGAACAGTTGAAAAAGTGTCCATCTGTAAGGAGTAAATAACAGCTCAATAACTCTCCACAACAGCGCTGGAGTAGCTAATGGGATAAAATGAACTTAGCAGTTGTCGACGGTTTAAGTGTGGTGCTAAACTGCTCAGTAGCTCTAAAATCTAAAATAATATTATTTAGTAAATATAACCTCGAAAAATTCGTCTATCCCACTAATATTTTTCGGTGCGTTCTTTAAAATTTACCTCGTAGTTATAGTGGCGTCACCCTTATTTAATGGTTTTTATGGACACTTTTTAATACACAGTTTGTACTCCTTACTTCTACACTCCATAGATACGGTATTAACGTCAATGGCATGTACGTCACTCACCTTCGATTTGTCGACAATATAGTCCTTATGGCAGAATCGCTGAAGGACCTACACACTATGTTCAATAACCCCAATAGTGTCTCTCAACGGATAGGTCTTAAGGTGAACATGGACAAAACAAAAGTCATGTGTAATGTCCATGTCACACCTATGCCGGTGGTTTTTGGGAGCACTTAGCTGAAGTTGTTGACGAGTATTTTTACTTGGGACAAATAGTCCGACGGGGAGGTAAGTTCAACTTCGACCGACAGGTCAATCGACGGATTCAACTCCGCTGGGCAGCGTTCGTGAAATTACAACACATCTTCTCGTCAGGAATACCTCAAAACTATATTGTACAACCAGTCCGTGTTGCCAGTGATGACCTATGAATCTGAGACGAGGTCTTTCACTGCTGGCCGTTGCGGAAGCTCGAAGTCGCTCAGCGAGCTATGAAGAGGGCTATGCTCAGGGGTTCAAACCTAGGAATGAGGATATCTGCAGCAGAACCAGAGTGACCGACATCGACCAATGGATTAGTACGCTGAAGTGGAAATTGACCGGCCATATAGCTCGAAGAACCGAATACCGATGGGGAGAAAAGGTTCTCGAGTGGCAGCCCCGTGCCGGCACTTGAAGTGTAGGACCTTCCCCCACTAGATGGAGTTAAAACCTGGTAAGACATGCAGGAAGTTGATGGATTCAGGTAGCTCAGGACCATGCTTTATGGCATTCCTTGGGGGAAGCCTATTTTCAGCAGTGGACTTGTGAATAGAAAAATTTTAATGATGATGAATGATAATGGCGTTATATTAATATGATACATAAATAGAATGGACGTTACGGGTAGAGTCCATCTATCCATAGAGTTCTTTCTGTTTATTTAGGTATAGGTAGGGTATAGAATTTTATCGATATAATTTGATACACTGTCTTATCCCTATTATTAGTTCCGTGGACGTGCACTTTTGCTGTCAGCGCCAAAATGGCGGAAATCAAATCGCTTCATCATGTCACGTCTATAGCCTGTCCAGCGTACTTGTATATATAGAGGTCAGTGGTTAAAAGGTATTTCTTAGATTTGGTTGACTATAGTTTGTTACTTTGACACTAAGATACACATCCATTGAAGTCTTTTGTAGTAAATTTCAGTCGTTTATGTTGTATGTCCTAGAATTTTTTTTTAATTTCATCGGCAAAAAGAATAATTTGAGTGTTTGATGACTAAGAATATATTAATAATAAGAACATTAAATAGCAACAGTTGGCAGAATTACAGTAAGTGATCATAATGCTATAATAAACTTCTGATCTAATGAAATTGAAATGATAAAATGAAAAACGTTTAATTAACTCCAGTTTAAATATCACTTTTAGGGTTTAAATCTGAATAATAATTTGAAAGTCTTTAAGTATATGTACCAATAAACGTGTAGTAAAATCATATGTACAAAGATATCTTAGTAGGATCCGTTTCGACGTTGCTATCCAGTATTTTCATCATTAAATATAATAATAAAAGAATACATTGACCTGAGATACTTGTGAGTGCAGAGGTCGTAGAGGAAGAGAAGGGTCGCACCTCGGCCTCGTAGAGTTGTTGCTGGAAGAGGGGCGGGCAGTCGTCGTAGTCGAGCAGGCGCACGATGAGCGTGCCGCGGGCGGCGCGGCGCGGCGAGCCGCTGTCGGCGGCCAGCAGCGCCACGCGGTGCTCGGCGCGCACCTCGCGGTCCAGCGCGCGCGCCAGCCGCACCCACCCGCTGTGCGCCTCCACCGCGAACGTAGGCGCCTGGCCCTCCCCGCCCGCACCCTCCGCACCTTCCGCGCCCTCCGCCTCGCCCAGCGAGTACCGCACCTCGCCGTTCGACCCCGAGTCCGGATCGTCAGCCATCACTGACACAATTCAAACACTGATTCCCGCAATACGATTTGTACTACGTTATATTATGTATCAAACTAATTATTATGGCAAATTGATATTTTTTAATTGTTTTTTGAACTATAGTACGTTTCTAGGGCAGGCGGAAAAAGTACATTGACCTTTGACGATATCATCGGGGTAGGCAATCTTTTTTGTTTAGGTTCATTTTTTTATCCTTTTATCATTACCACAGAATAAATAATAGTACTACGTACAGAAGTTGCACTCCTTTGATGTCGACTGCTTACCGACGTTTAATAGCCTACATAATTATTATTAATCAGATAAATCGCAAACGCAAGCTAAATAAAACTTTATCGCTGCGCGCTAGTGTCCATATTACTTTGCATCTTTTTTGTCACGGCGGACTTTCCGTGGTTATTAAGTGATGTCAATAGAAAGTAAAAAATACATTGCGAAATGTTAATTATGTTACTTAGGTGAAGTACTAACTAATATTCTGACTATGATTGAACCATACTTTCGCCCACATGTGAGTTCTGCGATGCCTAACGCATGCAAATTGCAAGGTCATTCGTCGGGAATCGTAACGCTTGGGAGAAATAGGTAGATAGTGTAAACAACAAATAAACCTGAAATACGATTTCTAACAGAAATGTGATCTATTCTACTTAGTAAAAAATCTTGTTAGTAGACAAAGTTTTAATTTCAGTTATTTGTGTTATTATAACTCAAAATATTTTAATTACAAAAGACAAGTATAGGTATGTAAGTAAACACTTGGATAGTGAAGTAAATTTTAACTAATTTTTGTAATGAAGTACTTAGGTATTTCTTCTGTAGACCAAATTATTACTTAATTCTTTTTTGCTGTGAGTACCTATCTAACAAAAAAAATTTAATAAATTCACCTTTCATAACTTCCTTCTAAAATTCTTCGGTAACTTAAAGAATAATATGAAACCTTTTGTTGGTCATTTCATTTAGTATCCATCTAAGCAACAGTTATAGTAGGAACGACGTTTTGCTATTATAATTTATCAAATAGGTAATATACATATTATATAATTTTTAAAATACATTAAAACTTTTACAACTATTTTTACCTACAATTAAATATACTAAATACTAAACAAAAACTATTTCAACAACTATGTACATAAAACTATTTACATACATTTATTTACAGTTAAAAAACTTTAACATTAAATCGCTTCCAACGCGCTAGCCCTGACTGCGTAATTTCGCCCGGGCGCGTCGCGATTGTACGTAATTATTTCACATAGGTAGCAAGAGTGATAGAGGCCTGTCATTACATACATCATCAGAGTGAAAGATAAGTGTGCCGAGTGCGAAGTTCTTTACAGGCCCTATGTATATTATTATATAATAAAGAAAGAAGATTATCTGGTACCTAAATGAATTAAAAAGCAAATCAATATTAATTTAAGTTTACTATTTATAAATCATGAGTTATTACAATTTTCATTATTACGTTAATAGTAGGTAAGTACTTTAATAAGTAGGTAGGTAGGTAGTTGTATAAAACATAACTACTTCTTGGCAGTCAGGTAAAAAGACGAACTTTTAATGCAAAGCATTCTTAAGCAGCCAACCTTGAAGCATTCATAAAACTTCTCATAATAGATTGCCAGAGACACTTGACAGGCTATTCATCTGTATCTATTTCAGAATCATTTTATGATGATGAAGACGTAGAAGAGTCCGTCACATTGATTATAACCTAAAATATCGGCAGTCTTCTTTTTCATATCCGTTTTGGATGGATATACGTCACTAGACCACGTTTCTTTTACATATTTATAGAAGTTTACAATAATTTCAATAATTTCATTGACACTTTCCGCTTCTTTCGTGGTGACGTAAAGTTGTTATGAGATTTTCATGTCGATCGACTCAATTTTATACTAGTGATAATATACAAAACGTCACAAAACAATAACGAAAGCTTTAATACAAAACGTAATAATAAAACTAACAAAACAAACTTAATAAAAACTAAAACAACTACTATAATCTATAACTGAAAATTTTAAATCTCAAACTAACTACACGTAAGTAAGTAAGTAAGTAAGTAAGTTACAGCCTATATACGTCCCACTGCTGGGCTCAGGCCTCCCCTAATTTCTGAGAGGGTTTAGGGCAAGGAGCCCAAATGCGTCTTGACGAACTTCACATGTTTTCGAAATATTTTTTTTCCTATTCCTCAGACATGCAGGTTTCCTCACGATGTTTTCCCTCACCGCCGAGCACGTGGTAAATCAGCACTTAAAATTGCAATTAACAATTTCATTGGTGCTGGCGGGGATCGAACCCGGGTTACTCGCGTTCTGTTATATTTACAGCGAGCGTTAACCACTGAGCTACCACGGCTCTCTAACTACACGTAAGCGCATCCCAAAGCAGAATGAGGAATGAGTTCTGCTCCATCCGCTTTCTTAAATACGCACGGCGTGACAGCTATCGCAAACTGCGTCGCAACAGGTTTATTATCTCTGAATGACCGCTTCCTTCGCCCTACCCCGTACCATGAGACATGCTTAGCGCATAACGATACGTTATCTATAAAGAAATGTATGGAAGCATTAACTGTCGTTTTGTTTCGATGCTAACATAATACTTGAGGTCAATGTACTCTTTTCCGCCTACCCTAGAAACGTACTATAGGTGTATACAAGGAATAGTTAGTCACTATAATAATGAATAAATATACATTTATGTTATGAGTAAACTTACATTGAATTATTTTTGAATTTGGAGGCGTGTTTTCAGCGAGATATACGACGTACGGCTGCGAGTGGAACGAGGGGGCGTGTTCGTTGACGTCGAGCACGTGCAGTTTTGTTATCACCATGACACTCGGCGCCGGACTGCCCGGTCCTTCCGCGATCACGCCTACACACACACACCGGTTCATATTTAAAAGGTAATTAATCGCGTCGTAGATGCGTCTGCGAATGTTGAGCGTGACAAGATATAAGATCAAAAACGATTAAAGTGATGATTTCTGTTCGGGAGTTTACGGGAATTTAAAAATAATGCAACTTGAATGTGGTATTGGACGATTGTATTGATCTCACAACAGCTGAGAGGGTAATGAATATATTTCAAAGACAAAAACCCTGTTTAAAATTAACGTTAAGTACGGACGTAATTACTACAAGTACGTTGTTTAACTCTTTGCTCAGAAAGAATGCGCAGGCGCTCCAACATGCCCCCAGGCGTTGAAATCTTCGATTTCAACCAGAATTAAATGATACCGGTAATGGGCAAATCCGGTTAAATGCCCTCTTGATAATCCCAGTAGAAGTTCTGATGTCTGCAACTCGAACAATGCCATCGGCTCCTGGGTGAATTGCAACGACTCTTCCCAGCTTCCATTTCAGCGGTGGAAGGTTGTCTTCCTTGACTACCACCAAATCGTTTATCTTTAAGCTATCTTTGCAAGAACGCCATTTCACTCTTTGTTGAAGTTCTGAGACGTACTCCTTGCTCCATCGTTCCCAAAAGTGATGACACAGTTGCTCAATGCGTTGGAATCTGGTTAATAACGGAGTGGAGTGATGCTGGTAGTCCGGTTGCGGTAAGGAAGTCAGCGCACGCCCAATTAACAGATGTCCCGGAGTGAGAGGCGTACAATCTGCAGGATCTGAAGATAATGGAGTGAGTGGCCGGGAGTTCAATATTGCTTCGATCTGGGTCAACGTGGTGTAAAGTTCTTCATACGTTAAGTGACAATTGCCCAACACTCTAAGCAAGTGATATTTTGTCGATTTGGCTCCCGCCTCCCAGAGACCACCGAAGTGAGGAGTATACGCCGGGATAAAATGAAAGTTAATATTATCATTGGCCATGCTTTTGCTCAAAGAAGCGCAATTGCCCTTTAAAAATTTGGATAAGTCATTGTATGCACCAACAAAAGAAGCACCGTTATCGGAATAAATATTAACTGGCTTACCTCTTCGAGCTATAAACCTGCGCAATGCCAGCAAATAGTTATTGCTGGTTAAGTCACCTACCAACTCTAAATGAATCGCCTTGGTAGTGAAACAGACAAAAATACATATATAAACCTTTACCAGTCGACACCCACGACCTTGACGAGTGGTGCTCATAACAGGGCCCGCATAATCGACTCCTACGGTCTCAAAAGGAAAGCCACCCGAAAGGAGACGCTGCTGTGGCAAGTTACCCATTAGTGGATTCGAAACCTTACCCTTCATACGATGACATCGTATACATTTATGATAACAGGCCTTCGCTAGGCTTCGACCACCTATCGGCCAATAAGTATCTCTAATGTTTGCCAACAGTAGCTGTGGGCCTGCGTGCATTAATTAGCCTTTTGTGTTCATGGTCAAATAATAATTTTGTAAAGATATGATTGGACTGTAATAATATAGGATGCTTTTTATTATATGAAAATTTTGAATTGTCAAGACGACCACCAACACGCATAATTTTATTTTCGTCTAAAAATACATTAAATTTAAGAAGTGGGCTTTTCTTAGGTAAATTTTGTTTATTCAGAAGCAAACTGTACTCTGAAAAGGAATCATATTGACACTTTGAAATTATAATATTTAACGCGTTTCGTAATTCTAATTCCGTTAAGTAATTTGAAGGTATAAACTGTCTTTTACAAGACATAATGAATCGTAAAACGTAAGCTACGGAACGTACAAGCCGTGAATAATTCGAGAAACGACTAAAATCAATGAAACAATCATTATTTTTTGGATGAGTAGTGACTGCAGTTAATATAATATCATGACGCGTTTCCGGTAATGTTCCAACATTCTTAGGCTGAGAAGGCCATTTTGATATGTCATACATTAAAAAATCTGGACCTGACCACCACAATCTAAGACCTGCCAGAGCACTAATATCCACACCACGAGATATTAAGTCTGCTGGGTTCCTATCTGTTGGGACGTATGACTTATGGTCACTGGCCTTATCCAAAATTTTAGCGACACGATTACGCACGAAAGGCTGAAGTTTGCAAGGCAACATTCGCAACCACCCCGAAACAATCGTGGAGTCTGTCCAAAAGAAGACTTGGTCAATTTTAACACGAAGGGAATTTACAACCTTCTCATAAAGACGAGCTCCTACCAACGCACCGCGCAACTCCAATCGTGGTATTGTTGTGGGTTTGATTAGGGCTACACGGCTCTTAGCCGTTAATAATCGAACCATAACTTGTGTCTTATCGCTGACGCTTCGAACATAAATGCACGCACCGTAAGCGCACTCAGAAGCGTCAGTGAAAATATACAGTTGCAGCACCCGGCATGACTCACAGATAACTCGTCGTGGAATACGAATGTTATTTAAGAGACGAAGAAATTTGATAATGCCATACCAGCGTTTCTTAATTTCGGGAGACAGTGGTTCATCCCATGAAAGTTTGTCTAACCAAAGCCTTTGTATCAACATTTTCATGGTGATTACATACGGGACTAAAAGACCCAGCGGGTCAAAGATTTGAGCAATCACTGAAAGCAAATCACGCTTAGTGTTGCCATCGGGAACTAGTGAATTCAATGGAAAGCAGAGTTCATCTGAATTCGAATGCCAGCCAAGACCTAACAACTTGTCTGGCTCGCGAGAACCAATATTTAGGTCAAGTGATGTATTGGCAATTTCTGACAGTAACTCGGAATCGTTCGATCTCCACTTTCGCAATGGCATACGAGCAGATGCCAATACTTCGGCAACCCGTATGGCTGACGTATGGCCTTTACGTCATCTAAGTCATCAGCACCCATAAGCAGATCATCGACATAAAAATCATGCATTATGATGTCCGCTATGGCTTTATTTTTGCACTGTAGACCAAGTTGTTTCAGGCAGCGTGTTGCGAGAAATGGCGCACTTGCCGTACCGTACGTGACAGTATTTAATTGAAAGGTCTGTATAGGCTCACTAGGACTGTTACGCCAGACTATCTGCTGAAGGTGCCTGTCATCAGGATGAACGACTATGCACCTATACATTTTCTCCACATCTGCAGACAAAACGTATTTATGTTGCCTAAAACGTAACAAAATCGACGTCAAGTCGTCCTGAACTACAGGACCGACCATTTGTATTTCGTTAAACGAAATACCTGACGACGTTGGGCAACTTGCATTAAAAACTACTCGAAGTTTAGTCGTAGTGCTACTTTCACGGAGTACGCGATGATGAGGTATAAAATACGCGCCATTACTTAAATTAGGTCTTTCACAAATTGTCATGTGTCCCAGTGACTGATATTCAGACATAAATTCATAATACATCTGCTTGATGTCAGGCTTACATTTTAATCTACGCTCTAAGGAGAACAAGCAATGTGTAGCTCTTTTAAATGAATCTCCTAATAGACCGGTATCCTTTTTGAGAGGTAACCGAACGCAAAAACGCCCATCATCAAGACGTGACGTATTTCTTACAAAATGATCCTCACACAACTTCTCCTCAGGTGAATAATGAGATGACTTGGAACTTATTTCCTCCAGCTGCCAAAACCGCGTTAAGTCAATTCGAATATCATCTTTATTATCGCCACAAAAATAAAAATCAGTCTTAGCGAAGTTGCATCGTAAGTCATTAGACATCAATGTAGAACGATGAACATTAATTGGACCAGAAACTATCCACCCTAGCCTTGTTTCATGTAGAATGGGCTTATTACTTCCTAACTTAATTCTTTGTGACCCTAACAAATCCCAAAAGAGATCAGCCCCAATTAAAATATCTACATCGGCAGGCTTATAAAATGCAGGGTCAGCTAAGCAAATATTCGATGGAAGTTGAAAATCACGTATGCTTAATTCGCGGCCTGGGGTATTGCTAGTAATTGATTGCAAAATGAAACAATTAATGTTAGCGGAATAACTATTATCTAACGACTTTAAATGTACACGACACCTTCTGCTTACGTGAGAATACACGCTATTAATGCCTAAAATTGACTTATCTATTTCGACAAATTCTAAATTTAATCGTTTGCGCATATTCTCAGTTATAAAACTAGATGTACTACCGCAGTCTAATACTGCGCGGGCGACGTGTTCGACGTTATTACAATCAAGTAGTTTTATCAAAGCAGTTGATAATAATACGTCTCGTTGTTCACTACGATGCGCTACGTTTGCCGATAAAGCGACGTTGTTCACATCAGTGCCTGCAGTTGATGTCATTGACGACTGACGAGTGAGTCCCTGTCCGAGTGCCCGTATCATTCTCGAGCGAGAAATCAATTTTATTTTGTACAGTATGACTTGTTATCGGTTCAGTGACGTGAATCATTGTGTTGTGGCGGCGATTACATATCTTACACCCTGGCTTTTCGCAATGGTTTGCAAAATGTCCTGACTTAAAACAATTATAACAGATCTTGTAAGATGGTAATAATTTCAATCTAGCCTCATTACTGAGTGCAAGAAACTGTGGACATCTACCTAAATTGTGATCGCCGTTACATTTATTTAACAACAACCTTTGAATTGTTTATTTGACTTTATATTATGATTATTCGATTGTTGCACCGAAACAATGGATTTTAATTTAGGACTTGGCCTATGCGGTGCAAAATGAACATTACGCGACGTCTCTAAAGTTTCGAGTAGATCAGCTCGGCTACGCATAAACTGGAGGAATATATCAAATGTAACTGATTCATCCTTTTTTAAATGACCTTTAAATTCCTCCCACTCACGGTAAGTTTTCTGATCCAATTTATGTGTAACTATATAAATTAGAAGCGTGTCCCAATGCTGAACTGGTTCGCCTAATGATTCTAATGCCCTCAGGTTTTTACTTAATAAATCGATTAAGCGCTTTAAAGTTACAGACGACTCCCTTGTAATCGTTTCAAGGTTAAATAAGGCTGACACATGATTTTG